TGTGTGTGTGTGTTTGTGTGCGTGCGTGTGTGGTCACTCATAGTCCCGTGTCCTCGAGGGATGAAGGAAATAATTTCTTCCTTGACCCCAGCAAAGCCCTCTAAACCTCAGGCTTTGTGCAGATGACCTAAGCGGACCTCCGGGATTAGATTGCTGGGAGAAATACAAATGTGAGACGTTCTGACGTTTAGTTCAGTTTTAGTAGAGGTTTTACGGCGCTCGCAACAGCATAAGGTCATACTTTACTTACTTCTCCGATCCAGCGGTCATTTGGGTTCTAGCCCTTCGGCCTGGAATAAGGTCATATGGGCTCCAGAAGATTAGAGGTGTTACAAGAGAGTAACAAACATAAAAAAGAAGAAGGGGAGACGAGGACGATAGACGTTTGATAGGAAAGAAGAAGCAAACCACACCAGAGCACCCGCCAACCACCCACTTCAAATTCTGAAAGTTAAAAAAGTCAGGTAAAGATAAGATGTAGACCAGGTACCTGTAAACCACACCAGAGCACCTGCCAACCATCAACAGAAATGAGCTACTTCTCGCAATCAACAAATGGAGATATTGGCCAAAAATCGACTCCTGGGTCAAATTTGTAGATTTTCAGTTGATGCCATATTCTTTAAGTATAACACGCCTTTTATTAGGTCATACTTACACATCGTAAAAACTTCACCTATAAGCGTGATGTATCTATTTCCAAAGGGTTCGAACTCGAGAAGTAACTCATTTTGTCAGTATGTACGCTTCACAAAAGTATAAAAGAACGAAGTGGCTAGCCGTACTTAAGTACTTAAGTTGATGTTTCAATCAACACATTTCGGTGGGGACCGGGAGGGGGGGGGGGGGGGGCTCTCGTGGTTTGAGGTTACGGTGTTTGCCTCTCATACAATAGGTCCCGGGTTCGAAACCTGACAGCGAAGGAAAATAAAATTATCTTCTCTTAAAGTTTCTCCTTTCACCATATTGCCTGTTCTCTGACCATGTTCTGAGGTCTGCTTTCGTCTCCACTTTCTATCCCCCCCTCCCACACCTCAATTTTGCTCCTTCTGGGCTCTTGTCTCTTTCTGCAGCCTTTCTACAGCTACTCCTTGGCACCTTTTTACTTCTGTCTTAAAGCCACCCCCACGATCTTATGTTAGGTAAGATTTAACACCTAGCCTTCTCGGATTAGAGCGAAAAATCTCGGAGGTACCGTGTTCAAGTTGCGCATGTTATAGATCCCCTGGTAGTCCAAAATCAATAAGAATCGGCTTTAACAGTCACCTTGGCAAAATTCAAAATTAATTCCAATTAAACAGAAAATTTAAATGTTTAATTAGTCCCGCGCGCTCATGTGACCTTATGCAGTTGCGAGAGTCGTAAAACACTTACCATAAAACAAACACTATTTTAGAGGTTGCAGCCAGCCTATGCAATATGGCCAATCGACAATATGATTAGTTCTAATAAGAGTTTTACGGCACTTGCAACACAATAAGGTCATATAAGTGCCGAAGATTAGAGGTGTTACAAGAGAGTAACAAACACAAAAAGAAGGAGGAGAGATCAGGACGATAGATTTTGATAGGAAAAAAGGAGCAAACCACACCAGAGCACCCGCTAACCACCCACGGCGATATGGTAATTTTGGTCTCTGTCTGTCTGTCTGTCTGTCTGTCTGTCTGTCTGTCTGTCTGTCTGTCTCTCTCTCTCTCTCTCTCTCTCTCTCTCTCTCTCTCTCTCTCTCTCTTTCGTGCCAATCTTTAGACTGAGAATCCAGTCAAACCGTCGAAGCTTTGCCTCCCTTCTCCCACCCCACACACATACACTTCCCGCACTCCCCTCCCCCACCCAAAAAACCCCATGAAAAACAAACAAACTAAAACA